GCCTTACAGTAAAGACTAATGGTACCAGGTGCTGCTGTTGAGGTTTAAAACTAGCCAGAAACTAAATACCATGCAGCTGCTTGTTCACTTTCTCTGCTCTGCCCCCCCACCCTGGGTAAGATGGAGAGGACAATAGAAAGAATGCAAAACTCCACAGGTTGAGGTAAGAACAGCTTAATAATTAAAATAAATTACAATATACTACTAAAAATAATAATAATAGGGAAATAACAAGGGAAAAGAACATAAAACTAAAAAGGGAAAGGGAACAAAGTGATTAACACAAGTGATGCACAATACAATTACTCACCACACTCTGACCAATACCCAGGCTGACCTGAACAGCAATCAGTGCCTTCTGGGTAACTCCCCCCAGTTTACATACTGGGCATGATGTGCTGTGGTATGGAATACCCCTTTGGCTAGTTCAGGTCAGTGTCCTGTCTCAGCTTTCTCCTGGCTTCTTGTACCCCTTCTCACTGGCAGAGCAAGAGAGACTGAAAATTCCTTGATCAGGGTAAGTGCTACTGAGCAACAACTAAACCATTGGTGTGTTATCAGAATTGTTCTCAGACTAAAGTTGAAAACAGAGCACTGCACCAGCTACTAAGAAACTTATCGCTATCCCAGACAAAACCAGGACAGTGCTACTTAAAAACAACTAAAACGTCGGACTGTTATCAACATTATTCTCAGACTAAAGCCAAAACACCAGCTACTAGGAAGAAAATTAACTCTATCCGAGCTGAAATTAGGACAACTGCACTGGGAGGAGTGACGCCAGCGTGTCGAGGAAAATGATCTTGTTGCTCTGCTCAGCACTAGTGAGGCCACATCTGGAGTGTGGTGTCCAGGCCTGGGCTCCTCAACAGAAGAGAGACATGGACATAACAGAAAGAAGTCCACAAAACACGAGTAAGATGATCAAGTGATTGGAGCATCTCTCCTATCAAGAAAGGCTGAGAGAGATGGGACTGCTCTTTCCAGAGAAAAGAAGGCTCAAATAGGATTTTGTCAACGTCTAAAAACCTGAAGGGAGAGTACAATGAAGGTGGAGTCAGGCTGGCTCTAGATAAACTGTATTATCTTGGCGGCACAGTTCTGCCCTTTATTTGCATAAATAAAAAATGAAATTTTCCATAGAAATTGTGGTAAAGGTTTTGTGATTCTATGGTATCATTGTATCCTACCTTAGCAGTAATTTTAGCTATCGCAAAATTGAAGCTCAATTGACAACAAAACCAACAACAGAAAGCAAACAAGAAAAAAAGTAATTAAAAAAAAACAACAAACAAAATCAAAGAAATAAACAAACCAACAACAAACAAACACAAAAACCAAGTTCTTCCAAAGAGTAAGAATTATCTGTCATGTTTCCCATATGGAAATTTTAAGCTATTTCTGGAGGACCGCAAATTGGCAGAACTGAAATATCTTCTGTGCTTCATTCAGCACAGCACACAAGAAAAAAAATAAATCATTTTCAGCATTCATTGAGAATGGATAATTATTGCTTGAGAATCTCTACCAAAAAGAATGGAAACCATGTTTCTATCTGCCACGTACATTGTTTACTGTCCCTTTGCACCAGAGAGACAAAAAGTAACTATAATTTTGAGAGGTTTGCAAGATCAGCTGATACTGATCCACTACTGATAGTCCACACTGGTCTAAATATGATGTCATCTGCAATTTGGCCTTAATAGGATCCAGGGAAGAAAGCAGCAACAGGAAAAGACAGAAGCAAAGCAGAAAGATACAGCTTTCAGCTCAAAGAAACTTTATTTTCAATACGGCTAAATAAAATAAAGAATTGGGGTAAAAATAAACTACAAATCCTTTTTTCTTTTTTGTGCCATAAAGCTAGGGACCAGGTTAGGAAAGCTAATGCCTAGTTAGAATTGAACTTGGCTAGGGATATTAAGGATAACAGGAAGGGATTCTACAGGTAGGTAGCAAATAAAAAAAACAGACTAGGGACAATGTAGGCCCCCTCAGGAAGCTCTCAAGAGAACTGGCTACACAGGATTTGGAGAAGGCTGAGGTTCTGAATGACTTCTTTGCCTTGCTCTTCACTGGCAAAGGCTCTGACCAAGCCACCCAAGTCTTGGAAGGCAGATGCAGGGACTGTGAGAATGAAGACCTTGCGCCCACTGTAGCAGAGGAACTGGTTCGAGACCATCTTAAAAATCTGAATGTGCACAAGTCCATGGGACCTGATGAGATGCATCCGCGGGTCCTGAAGGAGCTGGCAAATGAAGTTGTGAAGCCGCTAGCCATCATATTTAAGAAATCATGGCAGTCAGGGGAAGTTCCCGATGACTGGGAAAAGGGAAATATAACCCCCATTTTCAAGAAGGGAAAAATGGATGACCCAGGGAATTACAGACCAGTCAGTCTCACCTCTGTGCCTGGCAAAATCTTGGAGCAGATTCTCCTGGATGGCATGATAAGGCCCCTGAAATTCAACAAGGTGCTTGGTGACAGCCAGCATGGCTTCACTAAGGGGAAATCCTGCCTGACCAATTTGGTGGCCTGGTATGATGGGGCTACAGAACTGATGGACAGGGGTAGAGCAGTTAATGTCATCTACCTGGACTTGTGAAAAGTGTTCGACACTGTCCACACGACATCCTTGTCTCTAAATTGGAGCGACATCAATTTGATGGATGGACCACTCAGTGGATAAAGAACTGGCTGGATGGCAGCACACGAAGAGTTGCGGTCAATGGCTCAATGTCCAGCTGGAGACCAGTAAGGAGTGGCGTCCCTCAGGGATCGGTGTTGGGACCGGTCTTGTTTAACATCTTCATTGCTGACATGGACAGTGCGACTGAGTGTGCCCTCAGCAAGTTTGCCGATGACACCAAGCTGTGCGGTTTGGTTGATACGCTGGAAGGAAGGGATGCCATCCAGAGGGACCTCAACACGCTTGTGAGGTGGGCTGATGCCAACCTCATGAAGTTTAACCATGACAAGTGCAAGGTCCCACACCTGGGTGGGAGCAATCCCAGGCACAGCTACAGGTTGGGCAGAGAAGAGATTCAGAGCAGCCCTGCAGAGAAGGACTTGAGGGTGCTGGTTGATGAGAAAATGAACATGAGCCAGCAGTGTGCGCTTGCAGGCCAGAAAGCCAACCGTATCCTGGGCTGCATCAAAAGGTGCGTGACCAGCAGATCAAAGGAGGTGATACTGCCCCTCTACTCTGCTCTTGTGAGACCTCACCTGGAGTATTGTGTGCAGTTCTGGTGTCCTCAACATAAAAAGAACATGGAACTTTTGGAACAAGTCCAGAGAAGGGCCATGAGGATAATCAGGGGACTGGAGCACCTCCTGTATGAAGACAGGCTGAGGAAGTTGGGGCTGCTCAGCCTGGAGAAGAGAAGGCTGTGTGGAGACCTCATAGCAGCCTCCCAGTATCTGAAGGGGGCCTATAGGGATGCTGGGGAGGGACTCTTCATTAGGGACTGAAGTGACAGGACAAGGTGTTATGGGTTAAAACTTAAACAGGGGAAGTTTAGATGATAGGATATAAGAAGGAAATTCTTTCCTGTTAGGTTTGTGAGGCACTGGAATGGGTTGCCCAGGCAGGTTGTGAATACTCCATTCTTGGCAGCGTTCAAGACCAGGTTAGACGAGGCCTTGGGTGATATGGTTTAGTGTGAGGTGTCCCTGCCCACAGCAGGGGGGTTGAAACTAGATGATCTTAATGTCCTTTACAACCCTAACTATTCAAAATACATGTACATAGGCAGATGAAGCAACAAAAAATTAAATCTATTTATACACATTTGATGATCTGATGTCATAAGTGAAGACACACAGGAACATGTGGCCTCACAAGAAAGAGAACTTGTGCATGCAGAAACTTCAGAAGATAGGGTGTTCTTCACATGCACAGATATCATTCTGAAGTAACAGCACACTGTTAATCAACATGAAGATTATTTTATATAGTTCAATGGGGTTATAAACAGATAAAGGGAAACAATCACTTCAGAAGAGGTACTCACAGTCAGATCCATCTGAATACAGACATATTAAACACATTTGGAAGAAGTGAACACATACTGGATACAGAGGCAGAATCACTATTCCCAACCTTCTGGCTAAAGTCTTGACAGTACTGCCCAGCTTTCTAAAGGTACAAACAGAAGGCACCTGCCAATTGTGATTTTGTAAATGCCCTTACAAAAAAACACAGAGAAGGCATGACAAGTACACAAAATACGAATTATGCCTACCAAGGAAATATTGAGATTATCATTTAAATTTAGATTTCATTAATATAAATTGTAAAAGTGTGCTAAAGGATACTGTGGATTACTGGTTGTCCTGGGTTCAGCAGTAGCAGTCATGTTTCTCCTTCGTGGTAGCTGGTGCAGTGCAGTGTTTTGACTTCCAGCCTGGGAACAGTGTTGGTGAAACCAATGTTTTCAGTTGTTGCTAAGTGATATTTACCCTGACCAAGGACTTTGTGAGGCTCATGCTCTGCCAGGGAGGAGGGGAAGCTGTGAGGAAGCAGAGATGGAGCGCCTGACCCAGGCTAGCCAGGGAGGTATTCCATACCACAGCACGTCATGCCCAGGGTGGGGAGTAACTGGGAGTTACCCGGAAGGACACGGGCTTCCGGGTGGGACTCGTTTCTTGGCCGGTGGTATCGTATTCTCTTCCCTTGTTATTTTCCCTTATCATTGTTGTAGTTGGTAGTAGCGGTGGTGATTTGTGTTGTACATTGGTTGCTGGACTGTTCTTGTCTCAACCCGTAGGAGTTGCACTCTTTTGAACCTCCTCCCCGTTCCTCCGTGACCCGGGGAAGGGGAGAGCCCCGGTGGGGGGGAGGGCCCTCGATTGTTGTCAGCCCGGCACCACTCACTGGGAGTGAGTGAACAAGTTGCCTGACTGGGTTTAAACCATGAACACCTGCAATACATTGATGACATGTCAAAGGAGTCTTTGAGAAAGGGAGGAAAATAATCCAAACCCTGCTGAAAGTTGGTTTTGCCATAAAACGGAGTAAGGTCAAGGGACCTGCACAGGAGATGCAATTTTGGGGAATAAAATGGCAAGATGGGTGTAGACAGATCCCCACAGATGTGATCAACAAGATAACAGCAATGTCTCCACCAACTAATAAGAAAGAAACGCAAGCTTTCTTGGGTGCTATGGGGTTCTGGAGAATGCACATCCCAAATTACAGTTTGATTGTAAGCCCTCTCTATCATGTGACCAGGAAGAAGAATGATTTTAAATGGGGCCCTGAGCAGCAACAAGACTTTGAGCAAATTAAATGCGAGATAGTTCATGCAGTAGCTCTTGGACCAGTCCGGACTGGGCCAGATGTAAAAAATGTACTATATACTGCAGCTGGGGAGAATGGTCCTGCCTGGAGCCTCTGGCAGAAAGCTCCAGGGGAGACTCGAGGTCGACCCCTCGGCTTTTGGAGTTGGGGATATAAAGGATCTGAGGCCAGCTATACCCCAACTGAGAAAGAGATACTGGCAGCCTATGAAGGGGTTCGAGCTGCTTCGGAAGTGATAGGCACTGAAGCACAGCTCCTCCTGGCACCCCGGGTGCCTGTGCTGGGCTGGATGTTCAAGGGCAGGGTCTCCTCTACACATCATGCAACTGATGCTACATGGAGTAAATGGGCTGCACTAATTACACAACGAACTCGAATAGGAAATCCCAGTCGTCCAGGCATTCTAGAAGTCATCATGGACTGGCCACAGGGCAAAGATTTCGGAATGTCACCAGAGGAGGAGGTGATGCGCGCTGAAGAGGCCCCACCATATAATAAACTGTCAGAAAGTGAAAAGCAGTATGCCTTGTTTACTGATGGCTCTTGCCGTATTGTGGGAAAGCATCGGAGATGGAAAGCAGCTGTATGGAGTCGTGGACGACAAGTTGCAGAAACTGCTGAAGGAGCGGGTGAATCGAGTCAGTTTGCCGAGGTGAAAGCCATCCAGCTGGCCCTGGACATTGCTGAACGAGAAAAGTGGCCAGTACTTTATCTCTATACTGACTCATGGATGGTGGCAAATGCCCTGTGGGGGTGGTTGAAGCAGTGGAAGCAGAGCAACTGGCAACGCAGAGGTAAACCCATCTGGGCTGCTGCCCTGTGGAAAGATATTGCTGCCTGGGTGCAGAACCTGGTGGTGAAGGTACGTCATGTAGATGCCCATGTACCCAAGAGTCGGGCCACTGAGGAACACCAGAACAACCAACAAGTGGATAAAGCGGCTAAGATTGAAGTGGCTCAGATGGACTTAGATTGGCAGCATAAAGGTGAATTATTTTTGGCCCGGTGGGCCCATGACACTTCAGGCCATCAGGGCAGAGATGCAACATATAGATGGGCCCGTGATCGAGGGGTGGACTTAACAATGGACACTATTGCCCGGGTTATTCATGAGTGTGAAACATGTGCTGCAATTAAACAAGCCAAGCGGTTAAAGCCTCTTTGGTATGGAGGACAATGGTTGAAGTATAAATATGGGGAGCCTGGCAGATTGACTATATCACACTGCCACCAACCTGCCAAGGCAAGTGCCATGTGCTTACCATGGTGGAAGCAACCACCGGGTGGCTGGAAACATACGCTGTGCCCCATGCCACTGCCCGCAACACTATCCTGGGCCTTGAGAAACAGAATTTGTGGAGACACGGCACCCCAGAGAGAATTGAGTCAGACAGTGGGACTCATTTCCCGAATAACCTTATAGATATTTGGCCAAAGAGCATGGCATTGAGTGGGTATATCACATCCCCTACCATGCACCAGCCTCTGGGAAAATCGAACGGTACAATGGGCTATTAAAAACTACACTGAGAGCAATGGGTGGGGGAACTTTCAAGCATTGGGATACACACTTACCAAAGGCCACCTGGTTGGTCAACACCAGAGGAGCTGCCAACAGGGCTGGCCCAGCCCAGTCAGAACTTTTACATATTGTAGAGGGGGACAAAGTTCCTGTGGTGCACATAAAGAATTTTCTGGGGAAGACAGTCTGGGTTATTCCTGCTTCAGGTAAAGGCAAACCCACTCATGGGATTGCTTTTGTTCAGGGACCTGGATATACTTGGTGGGTAATGCGGGAAGACGGGGAAGTCCGATGTATACCTCAAGGGGATTTGATTTTAGGGGAAAACAGCCAGTGAACACAATTGTATGCTGTTGCCTGCTGTGTAATACTTTTATAGCTCATCAACTAGATGTCTCCAGGTCACCAGCGACTAGCCCTGACTTCCCTCCAACCATCATCCCAACAGAGAATGAACTTTGATAGAACCGGATGAGTTCCACAGTAAAGGAACGACCAGCATCAGCAGGCAATGATCCAATACTGCACACAGCCTTTCCTGCCCTGAAAGATTGTTACAAGAGATGGAACCTGACATCATGGACCGAATGGACTCAGCAGCATTATAGGTATTGGTCCATGCACTAATAAAATGATCTAGCCAGGGGGGTATTCCATACCACAGCACGTCATGCCCAGGGTAGGGGTAACTGGGAGTTACCCGGAAGGACACGGGCTTCCGGGTGGGACTCGTTTCTTGGCCGGTGGTATCGTATTCTCTTCCCTTGTTATTTTCTCTTATCATTGCTGTGGTTGGTAGTAGCGGTGGTGATTTCTGTTGTACATTGGTTGCTGGACTGTTGTCTCAACCCGTAGGAGTTGCACTCTTTTGATCCTCCTCCCCGTTCCTCTGGGACCAGGGAAGGGGAGAGCCCCGGTGGGGGGGAGGACCCTCGATTGTTGTCAGCCCTGCACCGCTCACTGGGAGTGAGTGAACAAGTCGCCTGACTGGGTTTAAACCACGACACTTGTAATATGTTAACCTTCAGTTACTGATTTTGTAACATCTGTTCTGTGGCAAACAAATTGTATCCAAACCAAGACCTTCAGAAATAACAACAGCTGAGCGTACTGAGGAGACTTTATGCTTGATTGTTCATAGGATAAAAAATGCAAAGTATTAAAAAACTCCAAATTATGTTCACTGATCCATTCACTTTTAATTGCAAATACACATTTTTTTCTGTAATCAGTTAGGTCTGTAGCAAATAAAACCAATTAACTGGCATTTTATATCATTGGATCTGCCAGCTCTTTTGTTAATTTCTATAAGAAATTTAGAAAAGGATGCATTTTCAGTGAAAACTTCTCCCACAGCATTGCCTCGGTAGCTTGGCAGAAAATGCATGAAATCTGCAAAAGCAGAAAAAACATAGTAGCATTTGGGAATGTAGAAAATGCTGCTTAACCAGCATCATTGCTGTGGCTGCCTGCAGGCTGGCTTAATAAGGCTATAATTCATATGCAAGAAAGTAGGTTTGTAATTACTGTCAAATGATCAAATCTATGTATAAAACCTAAGGAGGATTATGTATTCCCAGTAATGAACCATACTAAAATTGACTGGGATTTGTTAGCTGAGACACTTACTTGGCAAAATATAACCATAAAATGTGTAATAAAAATGAATATATGTATACTCAGATACTAGACATCTTTAAAGAATACATCTCACTTTGCTGGATATAACCATGATTTTTTTATCAGATGCATATGCTGATATTTCTACCAAATCATGCAGCCATATTAGTATGGATGGAAAAACATAGTTACCAAATTCAATTTTAAAAAGTATACTCTTTTTTTAGCAGAAAAAATATCAGAACTTTAATACTAAGGACTGGCATAAAGCTGCAGAAGTAAGTGTCTGTCTCCCCATCCCATCCTTCTATTTTCTATTATTTAAAAAGTTTAATGACACTTTATTTTTTGTTATCTGCTTTAGTAGCATTACTAGATATTTTAAACCACTTGATTTTTTTTTTTTTTTAATTTATTTTATTGACCATGATCTTTAAAGAAAAGAGATTTAGTTAAATAGATATATGTATATGTGGGTAACTGGGGGTGGTTGGTGTTTTTTTAAATAAGCATAAGTTCAGGTTAGGTAAAAGGAAGAAGTTCTTTACTGTGAGGGTGGCAAGGCACTGGAACAGATTGTTCAAGGAAGTGGTAAATGCTACATCCTTGGCAGTGTTCAAGGCCAGGCTGGACAGAGCCTCGGGCAACATGGTCTAGTGTGAGGCATCCCTGTCCATGGCAGGGCTCTTGGAACTGGATAATCTTAAGGCCTTTTCTAACTCTAACATTCTATGATTCCATGTTTCTATATTATTGAAATTATAAATGTTGAATTAAAATATTCTTATTAAACAAAGAAAGGACAGAAGATATAATTAATTTTCTGAGTATACATTTTTAGGCTTTTTTGCCAGTGTTTGCATATGAAATATTTGCCTAACACTTCTGATCAATGTATGTTTACGTGCTCAGAAAAAAAAAAATCAAAAAAAATCAAACTGGGGAATGATTCCAGAATTTTTCCTAAGTAATTTTCATGTTTCAGAAGCAACATCTGACATAAACAGTATTTTTCAAAGCCATAATTTAAGACAAGAAATACACTAGCAAGTAAGTAATGAAAGCAAGCCAGAGGTAGTTTAGTTCAGTTTTGAGTTGAGTTGAGTTGAGTTTAGTTTAGCTTAGTTTAGTTTAGTTTGTGGTTTTTTTTTTAGTTTATGCGGAACAATAGGCACGAGGAAACAGTTACATTTGCCAGAATACTAGTAGCTGATGATCATTAGCATTAATACTTCATAATTCAGGACTTGAGGAGTGCAATTTTCACAGAAAACTGGATCATTGAGATTATTTTACTGAAAAAGGATGATTACTAATTTTCAGCTTTGCTTTCCATAAATAATGATCAGTGGTGATATTCCATAATGTATAGCAAAGAACAAAGTGTCAATTCTTAAATTTTTTTTTTCTAGCATGGAACAGTTTGTTTCCCTTCTTCCCCTCGCAAGGTTTGGATTATTTTCCAATGAAATAAGAATCTAGACATCAGCTATATTCCATGGAATATATATATATATATATACACACATATTGATACATATTTTATATATAAATTTAATATTTATATATAATATATATTAAATTCCATAAGCAATATTCCATTGGTGGTGTTTTAAAGAAGAAAATAAATCCTGCTTATCTTTCAAAACTTGGCATGAAGTTCTTTTAGCCTGAAGAAGATGAAAATAAAGCCCTGGAGAGAGCACCTATGTTTCCCTAAAGCAACTACATTTCTTAAGCTCTAGGGTGTTTTTCACTCAAAATGTTTGTTTTTTTTATGTCTGTTTTCTCAGACATCTGAATTGCAAATAATTAGATAATTAGTATCTCACTTAGAATCCATGCTATTTATGACTACAAATGACAGAGAATTTGCCAGAGGTTTCAACAGTACCGTATGGTAGAACAATAATTTGGAAGAACACTTAATTTGATTCTAGTTCAAAAGAAAGGCTGTATTTCTTTCTGTGAGATTCACAGGCAAAATTAGTAGTGCAAATAGTGTATATAACCAGATACAGCAGTACTGAATCTAATGTGTGTGTGTGTATATATATATATGGATACAGAGTGTTAAGATTGAAAAAAAAAAAAATAACTAAACATTCCCAGTACAAAATTAGAACTGCTATAAACTGGAATACACGTGATTTCATTTACTCATCTTCTAAGTAGTGACATGTATGTTTAACTTCTGTTACTGACATGAGTCTTAGTGGCAATTATTGTCTTTGTTCAACAACTCTCAGAGGGGGATTTGGTTGGTTGGTTGGTTTTTTATTTATTTGGTTTGTTTGTTTGGGTTTGTTTTGCTTTTTTTT